GACAGCTACACAGCATTCTGATAACAACCGTATCATCCTTGCCCCAGCCTTCAAGAGAAGTGAGGAATCACTACAATCTACTGCAATCAATAAGACTCAAGCATGAGTTGAGCAAAATTTTTGGTTTTATGGTATTGGTTTTGTTGTTTTCATTAAATCTGGCACAGTGATGTAAATGAGGGTGCCCATTTCCTTTTCTTTTAAATACACAATTATATTTCTTCTTTCCTGAACTAAAACATATTGAGAATTGCTCTAACTTGACAAAGAGTTATGTGAGATGCATGCTGGGCAAGAGTCTTCTGAATATCCCAGTATGTTTTTAGTTTATCTTGCAATATTACATATGAAGCTTTAGGACTCAAATCCAACATGCTGGCATTGATTTTCTCCTCCCCTAAATCAAAAGGGAGAATGGTACCAAATGTAGTGTGGCTGGGAAGTAGCAAATTTCAATGTCTTCTCTAGCGACATACAGGTAGGTGGATTTGTTTTTCACTTTACAAGGAGGTGTCATCTGCCCCATTTTATGTTATATTTTCTGACTTGGTTAGACACATGTCGGTTTTGTTATCACCATCCCCGAACTGTGTATATCATGATGTTATATAACCAAATTTGGTACATACTGAATTAAGTAAGCTGTAGTTATTTGGTTTAGAAATGTGCTGTCAGAGATTAGCATCTGGCATGGCTGACTAGTCACAGCATAAGATAAAAGGATATGGACTAAAGCTCTTGTTTCTGGACCAGTGAAGATACCTACTCAGTGGAAACTCCATCAGCCCCCCTGGGAGGGAGGAGCGCTCTACAATTTTTGCAAGCAGGCCCCAGAAGGAGCCTGTGAAAGGGAAGAAGACAAGGACAGGGATGTTCGAGTAAAAGGAAGGAAGGAATTTGTGAGGCAGAACGATAAGAAATGTGGAAAAAAAACCCTAGCAAGTCATATTTCCTAAAGAGAGATGTGGTCTTACAGTATGTACAGTTTCTAAGGGCCGGGCCAAGCCAAGCTTATTGTTTCTGACAGCATTTTTTCAAACAGAGAAGGAGCTCCACACCTCATCAAAAGTACTTTGGTACTTAAATATGCTCCCAACAGCCCCAAATGCTGATTCCAGAACCCCTCAACAAATGTGCTTCCTTAGATTAGGTATTAGCCAGTAATATTTACTTTGTAAAGGCCATTGGTGGATTTTTAACGCAGGCTTAAGGATCCTGTGGCATCACTTACAAACTGCAAGTGCTAGCACGAAGCAGCACAACTACACAGTATTTTCAATGCTCTCATGGTTTCCTAACCACAGCATTGGACACCAAGTGCCAAGAACCTCCACGATGAAGCACAGCGTGCTACCTACCGCTCATCAGATGCACTTAGCACTGCAGTCCTGCTCTACAGTGCTGCTCTTCCATGCAGCAGCATGCTTTATATGGAAAGCACACTGATTTGACAGCTTTTGTAAACACCCCACAGTCACAGTAAAACACAGCCATTTTCAGCTATGCAGAAAAAAAAGAGCTTGTGTTTCTTATGGTGGTGACTTTACCCTGTGTAAAAGTGAGTTATTGACACCCAATGGACTCATGCATTGCTAGATCTGTGCCCTTCATTTAAAGCCAGCAACACTCTTCAGGTTGGAGTTTTCCAAATATAGCTTTGACAACCCAGTTCTGAGAGCCCAGAGGAAGAGACATGACTACTTTGCTAATTGATGCCAATACACCAGGGAGAATCAGCACTGTCTACAGCAGAGTTTTCCCTTAAAGTGGACTAGGTCAGTTAGATGGCAATTGCACTAAGTCAAACAGTAATTATCATAACCAGACATTCATTCCCTAAATTATTACACATCCACAACAGTATTACTACAGTGGGAAAATTACATACCAATACTGAAACAGCATATGTGAATTTAATTTCAGCTGCCTGTGTATGTGTCTTGCATAGTTTGAAGCCCTTTGGAACTATCTGATAATCCAGTCTGGCCTCTTGCATAATCCAAGACATAGATTTCCCTCTGGTAGGGGACTGAACATACTATGCTCAAGATCTTGTATTTTTAATAACAGTACAGCTAGTACTTGGCTGATACATACATTTCAGAAAGGCATCCAGTCTTCTGATAGCCTCGAGGAGATGCAGAATTTACCACTTGTTATATTATAGCCACAATTGCATAAACCCAGTCTTAAGTTCTCCATGGGGACATTGTCTCATTCAATACACAGGACAAAATCACTTAGCTAGCAGCCATTCAATATTTTATTTTTGCCCTTTTTATTTGATGCATAGCCCTAAAAGCCTTGTTTACTGCTCATTATTCCAGCTCTGTTCTGAAGGCAGAATGATTAATTTCTTTACAGGCTTTTCTATAGTGCTCATCAGATGCTTCGAACTTGTTATGTGCAATTTCCTAGCTTTTGGAAAAGCATACAAAGGAATACCATTATGTGGCATCCTATAACTACTGCCATGATTCATATCAGCAGGGATAGACCAGACCTTTGCTATCTTTGCTAACAGGTGTAAAACACAGGCTGCCAGCATGGCCAAGCTAAAGGAGATGAGGCACATGCTTAAGCAATGATTTTCACTGATACTTGCTGGCATCAAGATGGGAAGATTCAGAATTTTAAGGAGACTGAAGGCTACGAAGTGAAAGTATTCTTACAGGTTCACACTTCTTTGTTTCTCTCATAAGACAGACCCCTCTAATTCATCCTTTCCAACATGCCTGCCCCTCAACCCATGAGTATCAGCCTGGTTTCTTAACCCAGTTTCATTCTTCTTATCTATACAGTGTTATCTATCTTAGCTTATTTTCTATCTATCCCTATTTCTCTCACTTTGTTACTGAGTTTATCTTTCCTCTTCCCTACTTACTCATAGACTGAGTCTCAGCCCCCATAGTCCCCATTTCACTGTCTTTTTCACCTCTCCTTTCCCTCCATCCCTTGACTAAGAGAAGATGGAGCTTACCGGGGTTTGAGGGGAATGAGCATTCACAGACTCCTTAGCAGTTTCAGAAATACATATATACTAAGCACATATAAAATGTGTTTTTTAAAGGTTATAAATTGGATAACCCAGGAAGGATTTTCTTAAAGCTGGAAAAAAGCACATTAATATATTAGAAAGACTACCCATTCCTGACAAAATTTGGAGACACTAAAGCACAGTAAAGAAGATGTCACAGAAGCCTTTCTGGTCTCTTCTTTAGCCTCATTTTCAGAAACAGTTAAGTCATGTTGGGTGACATTTTTCAGAATAAACTGGGCCAGAACAGATGTGCATCTCAGAAATTCTTATTCCAAATTACTATAGTTTCAGAAAATTGCAAGCAACTGAAATGGGAAGACACAGTATGTGGTTCTGCTCATAAAATAAGACAAAAATGAAAGCTATTAGTATCATGTTGGCATCTAACTTGATGGCTGCTCTGGTATCAGTGACTCATCTGAAATCATGACACTAACTGAGCAAAGAAAGTCATTCTATCTTGCCAGGTTTTTACTGACTGATCTTCTCAAGGTTGGATCACAGCACAAAGTAATATTATTGCCCCATATAAGCCTGATACATGCATAGCTGTTTTGTAACCTTCTCCCGACATAGGCGCCAGCTATTCATTTGCTGGTTTTGCACTGAACATTCATTATTACCAAATATCTCCTCCCTTGCCTGTAGGTTCTATTATTTTCCTCTCCATTATACCTTTACATTTATCCTCTTGTACACTGATATCCCTTCAGTTTTGGAGTTGCCTGCAAACCTCATCAGAACCAAATTTATGCTAGCAGATTTGTATTTCCTGGCTAAGACACAGAGCAATCACTGGATATTAAATTCCTGTAAAAATTAAATTAGTCAAGAAAGACTTCTAAAATCCTAGAGAGACCTAGTAAGGGCTACAGCTAACAAGACACATCACTGATGAAACATTAACTATTTTGACTTCATAAGAGTGTTGGAGAACGGCTTGCAGAGAGTAAGGCCATGGGTATCTGCAGAAGCTGATTACAGCCATCTGAGGTAAACAAAGGAAAAAACCCAGGGTACAGTTATGCTAACAAAGGACTGTTATGTTAACAAAGAGAGAAACTGAGGTACATTATGACCTTGGGGGTGATGGAAAAACAGCCCTGGGAGAAAAACACGTTCAGAAGAGGGAAGGTGTTTACGCATACCTGAAGTGCCACAAGGGGCTATTATAATATAGCTTTTTACATGTGTCCAATAGATTTGTGAGTAGTATGCATGATTATTGTAGAGTGCTTATATAAGGTGTGATTTCTTTCAATAAAGTTGAAGCTTGCTCTATCATTCACATTGAATCGGCTGCTTGCTTCCTCCGCCCGCCGCATAAGAGAATTGGGTTTTGGTCTTCCACAAATTCCCTGTATTAAGTTCTAGGCCCTGTGTCTGTAAATAAGCTTGTTTTGGTGATGGTGCAACAGAAAAAAAACCCTTGTTGGACAGGAGTGTTACCAAAACCCCACACAAGTGTGGAGTCATTACTGCTATAAAAGGTTGGAGCTAAGCCGCAGTTTAAGACAATAACACATTAATTTTACCGTAAACTTATAATTTAGCTTGATTTGAGTAGACACAAGACTCCAGCCCAAGGTTTACAAACCCTGTATACATCTATATTCTATAGTTATTTCGTCCAGATCTCTCAAACATCAATGTACTGTTTATTTAAAATACGTAACAGTTACTAGGAAAAGCAGCAAGACAAAGCATTGAATTGACTTCCAAAACTATCAGCCTTTGTCTATTAAAATATTTACTTTTGAGACAAGTCCTAATTAGTTAAAAACATTCCATCCAGTCTTAAAATAGAGGTTCAAGCTACCCAATTTATTCTTGGAACAGTCACTTGCTCTCAGGATTAGGAAGACAGTGGCATCCAGAGCAAGCATGAGCCCTCTCCCCTCTTATTACAGTTAATCAGAAACATAAATACTATAATGGAGCTGAGCCCCTGCAAACTCACCAGGCTGTGCATAATTTCCACTCCAGCTGGATTCACAGTGAGTGCTTCATCATACAATTGCCTAGCCTCCTCCAAATTGCCTTTCATCTCTGCAAGCCTCCCACGCATGTACAGTACAGCATGAGATGTGGGGAAAAGACTAGCTGCCTCCTGGATACAAAAGCCTGCTTCTTTGAGATGCTGCTGTTCCATGAAGAGTTCAGCTAAAAAACAAACAAACAAACAAAACAACAGAAAAAAAACCCAACAAAACAACACTCTACCGTTAGTTGAAATAAGTCAGAGACCTTTCTTTTCATTAATTACCTATCATCTCCCTTAAGCATATTAAAACACAAGGCCATGATCCTGCGCAGTGCTTAACTACTATGGTTAGTTCTTACTATGACAAGTGGATTCACTGAGTATTTTTTCAGTGCTAAAGACTCTAATACAGATGTTCATAGACATCTTTGGGTATTGTCTGGACAGAGGACGGCCTTAAGGATTCCACAATCAGGAATGTAAACAGTGCTGAACTGAGCCCTAAGGAAGCAGGGCTAGTAGCCACTTGGAGCCCTCATATGCATTTCCAAATAATCTGGGGAAAAAAAGAACAGAGTAAGTCATCACTGTCTACTATGATCTTTAAACATGGCAGAGTAATAGGATACATCTGACTGGACTGGACATTAGATAACTTATTTAAAAGACTATTTCCACATTTTAAAAGATGATTAAAAGTGTTTCTCTCTGCTTATTTGTCTAGTTTATGAGACAGCTGTCTCTTAACTTTCAGAGACTATTAAAAGCAAAAGGCTTTTATCATACTTATTTATATCGTGTATTCACGCATTTACTTCCTCATGCATACTCTACAGAAAAACAAAACAGAGCTCTTAGAAGAGACTGCTCAGTCATTTACTTTCTTCAATTATCAGCAACTATCTTAGTGATTTTCTTAGAAAAATCTAACAGGCATACTAATGTGCTTGATTGTTAATTTGTTAATCAAATAATTTATCATGTTAAACAAATTTCACAACCTATCTCATGGTTAAACTTTAACATTTCTCTGGATTTGGACTAGATCATTGGACTAAATGATCATTGTGGGTCCCTTCCAAAAAAATCTGTCTATTCTAATTCTAGATTTATCATGCATTAAATCCTTGTAAAAGGCTTCAAAAGTGATAACTCAGTTTTCACTGCCGCACATAACTGAAAAGGGAAATTGTGTTTTTCAATATATATATATGTATGCATGCATGTATGTATGTATGCATGTATGTATATAAAATAATTATCTCTATACAGCGGCCATTGCTCTTTGGCCTCTAACGTGTTTGTGTTCTATACATTATCACTGCAACAGCTCAAAGTCTATTTTTTAACTGATGTGGTAATGCAGTTAGTATTGACAGTTCAGGAGTCCAACTCAAAAAACTAATTCAGGCTCCAGATTTAGATAAGTAATTCTGAAATTAGAGACAATGGTAAATGCCCTAACTGTTAAAAGGTAGTGAATATTCTCAGGAAGTCTCTGTAAGGGTGGAAATTAGCCTATACATTCCTCTTAAATAGCTTTGAAACTCTGCCAGTCTCAAAATGTTGGGAGACCCAGATGACTGTGAGGACCTGGCATGACAACATAGAGCTTGCTGAGTAGAGGTGAGCAGGAGAGCATCTCAAAGGCAGTCCTGCCTGACCATGGAAAGGCTCCTCCTTGGCCTATCTGGCATGAGCCTGGGACCACAAATAACACTTCTACTGGCACACTCAAAATGATCATGAACTGAAATAACAGCATGGCTGAATACCCTTTCACTTCTGAAGTGGTCCTTCTAGAGGAGGGGTGAGACACTGTTGAGAAAATGCTTTCTTAGCCATCCTTAGGTTGTGCTACAGATAAATGTCATTGTCCAAGGCTGTCAACGTGAGCAAAACATTAATTCCTTGGTAAGAGCTATACCCTTTCAAAGTGAGTCATATACATTTCTCTCTAGTTAATCATTATCAAATCACAGCATGCCTCCCTTCCCATGGCTCCAAAAGGCTGCAGCTATCCATAATAACAGAAAGCAAGGCCATGTACCTTGTCAAGCTGAGTATGTGTGCAGCTTTATTCAACAGTTTGTGGGAGGACAGTATTTTACTTGCACTTCCCAAGGAACAGAGCATTTTCCTGCCAAGTGCTGCACAGCAGCTGATGCCATGCATGTGGCAATAATGAGATGTGCAAAGTGACGATTCACAGCCTGAAGATGAACACTTTGTTTGCAAAGTTAGCACAAACTTAGTGGCACAAAAAAAAGGGGTGAAATCCTGCCACTGAAGTCAGCAGAAGTTCTGGATACTGCCATATTTAAAGGTCTATTAGCAACAAACAGCATAATGTAACTTGCTTCATTTCAGAAAAGAATCAGGAGCAAGGGGTTTTAGACGTGAAATCAAGCACAGCTGGTGTTTCAATGCATACAAAATGGAGAGTACTTATTCTTTCTTTCAACGGTACCTGCAAATCTTCTTCAGTAATAACAATTATTTAGAGGAAGTGCAGCAACACAGAATCTAAATAAGATCTACAAATTGTGTTTTATGGTATGGTAATGTAGCATATTAAAGTTCAGTCCATTTCTTTGCAGGCTTAAGAGTCAATAAAAAATTATTTAATGGTGAGGGAGGCTAATTTACATTAAAAAAAGAATGAGAGATGTGCTTTTGGGTTACAAAAGGAAAAAAGTGCACCCACCCAGCTAAAAATAGACATTAAAGGAAATCGTTTAGGCCTGCATTAAAATGTGTTTTCTGTAAACTCATTTTTCATTTCTATTACATACTCATTTTATTTACAGATTAACAAGATACGCTTACGTAACATAGAATAAAAACACAGCTAGAGGCAGAAATCAACCCCCAAACCCAAGGACTCATTAAACTCATCATGGTAATACTACTGCCTCCTCCATGGCACTGAAAGTACTGAAACACCCACCTTTGTATTATCTGGGTTAGCAGCTTCCTGTCCTATGGATTATTCAGTGTATCTTCTTATATCACCTAATCTTGCTGTAACTAAACAGCTAACCAAATTAGCAGTCCTCTCAAGGAAGTTCTGTTATAGAGATGTGACACTAAATTCCATTCCTAAACAGAGGTTATCTCCTCAGTCTGACACTGGTACCGAAGATCTGTAATTCTTACCTTGTGAAAGGTTCAATGCTTCAGAGAAACTATTTATGAACCTCCAGTTGTCAGACTACATCAATCTTGGTACTGACATTTTTTGCGGCTTTGAATCTAAAGGCCATGTTTGCAAGGTACCTAGCTCTCTCTCAACACCATTTTCATAAAAACTTCAACAAATTTGCATTCTGTTTTGAACTAGGTACCACCAAAGGCTCTCTGAATGCTACTGAGCAAAGAGAGATGATCATCCCAGATGTACCAACTCGTCTGTTAGCTACCAACTCCAGAAACTCTTGAGTATGAATGATTATTAGGAAGTATTTCAGCGTTTTTAAATAGAGGTATAGGCTGAGACAATACACTGCATGGATGGGCAAAGACAGGATGAATCGTGCACTATCTCCTTTCATTTACTAATCGAAGCTTCACCCTGCACCCACTGAGACCATGCGCAGCTATCCAGCTGACTCCTAAGTCCAGCCTAGCACGATTCATTTCTTATATCTAACTTACACTTCCCATCTTTCTCGTGCAGTACTGTTCAGTCTACTCTGCTGTTGTTCCAGACAACTGTCATCTCCTCTAGTGGCTGTGGCCTCCTGTCTTGACTTGCAACTAAACTTCCACTGATCTTAATGCTGGGCCCAATCCTTGAGAGCAGCATGGATCTCCACTCAGATTATCATTAGCTCCTAATACAAGCTCCTAGTTCCTTCAGCTGTTTCTGCTAGCATTTAAGTTCATCTACAGTGAAAATCCTTAATCAAGTGAGTATTGCCAGAAGCGTATAATCTACTTGCTCTCTAAAGACCAGTAACAAATGCACAGACCCAGAGCACTTCCCAGAATACTGACAAAGCCAGATCTCCTACAGTCAGACTCCTTTTTGTTTGTCTCCAAGACAAATTATTTGACAGATCTCCGTTAGGGAGTCCATCAGAAGAGTAACAACAGTGTAATCTAGTCATGTCTGCATCACAGTGCTAGTCTGAGAAACAGAGGTGTTTGCCATCACCGTGAACACTGACTCTATTTGTCGTTTCCTAAGTGTTTCAAAGCAGCATCAAGAATGATTGTGCTTGTCACCACAAAAGCAGCAACAAGTGTAATTCTAGCCAAAAAATTCAAACTGATTTGAAATGTATTTCTGCAGCGTGAACAACCCAAGAGTTAACATTCCATTCCTTGCAAATCACGTTTGGTGTTATCCAAGATGCAGCACTTAACTCCTACAAGCAGACTGCTCTACATTGCTCGGTTGTGTGTGCCCACTGGATCTAAAGCACTTGTCTACTCTCTCTCGTCTACCCCAAAAATGCTCCTGCTCAGTGACATGGCCAGCATAATGCAGCCAAATGCCCAGCACGATGGTACAGTGGGGAGCAGCCCTTTACACTTTAAGAAGGTGAGAGCACCTGTAAAGGTGTGTAGGAAGGTGGTTTCTGTCCCACATCACGTGCCTTCAGGGGTTATTTAGCCAGGTGGAAAGACTCACTCCTCTGAGACAGCGCTGCCTTCAGCAGTGAATACAGAGCTATTACCGTGACAAAGGGTTCCCCTGCTGCCTTTCCCTTCTGGCAGGTGACTTTTAGTCATTGTTCCATGTTATGACATCACCCTGCATGCACCCTGCTTGACAATTCGTGGGCAGATTAGATGGAAGATTGCTCAAAACCGTATCCTGACTGCAATAATTTCATTTGATGCAAACTTTTGATACAGAAATGAAGAACAGAAACTGCCACGTGTTCCCCTCCACCTGAGCTCAGCCACCTGGTCTTTTGAATGAGGCAACAGATTTACAACCTCAAAGGCTGCCTTTGCATGCAAACCGGTAGTTCACTGGAGTCCAGGGACCTGCTTTAAATTTCCAAGCTTCAGGTCTCACAGGGGATGAAATGGCCACTAAGCTTTAAATAAATGGTCTGTTTCCTTCTTCATGACTGTGTACACTTTATCACTTGCCCAAGACGTACTGAGCAGCTGAGGGAATACTAGTATTTGGTACCCTCTGTTGTTCTCTGGATAGCACTGG